TTCTGGGAATGGCAATAAATATGTTCCAAAACATTGGGTTTAAATTGTTGCACATATGCTCTTTAATGTACTAAAATAATTTAAATATGAATATCTCTTTGAATTATTGATTATAAAAATAATCATGGGAGAAATTAGGATTAAGTTAAATTAATATCTTGTAATTCAATACTTTTGCAGTTGTTGTGAAACAGCGTACTTAATAAAGAAATTGTTTTTCAATTTTTATAGTACAGAATTATTTAATGTTACAAACATTAATTAAAAACATCCCACCCCTCGAAAACAAATATTTTCAAACAAATTCTACTTTTATTAAAAATATTGTACGTTATAACTATAATCTACTTATGTTTCATTCCTTAAAGGTATTTACTTACTTAGATAATATGCATTATGTGTTACAGGATATTTTACGTAACATAGGAAGCTCTACTATGTAACATAGTAACATTTACTATGTTAACATAGTAACATTTACTAGGTTAACATAGTAACATTTACTATGTTAACATAGTAACATTTACTATGTTAACATAGTAGAGCTTACTATGTAACATAGTAGAGCTTACTATGTAAAATAGTAAATGTTACTGTGTAACATAGTAATTATTACTATGTCCATAGTACCTTTTACCATTGAGGAACTTACCATGCCCCATAGTAACCATTACGATGTTGCATGGTAGCCATTACCATGTCCATGGTAGCTATTACCATGTCCATGGTAGTGCTTACTATGTCCGGATTCTGACATCGTAATATTTACTATTTTATTTTCTCCGTGTAGAATTCAGTACTGGTGAGTAGTAACTTTTTTTTAGAGTGTAATTATTATCAAACTGTCCCTAGTTTCGTAGGGATATTATGGCTTCATTTGATAGATATTATCACAAGCAACACGTTGACATAAAAAAAATTCAATTAGGTCACGTAGTTTTTGAGATATTGAGGAAAAACCATTTTTGAGAAATTGCTGTATCTCAAAAACTACTTGACTGATTGGGCTGAAACTGCGCCCAGCGCTGTTCCCAAATGATAGCAATTATGTGGCAAAATTTCAGTTTTATAGTTGAAGCTTTACTTGTCTTTTTGTTGAGATTTATAAAAAATTTCCGAAAAATCTGCACACACGCACATGCGGACATACATACTGTTGCGTATTTGTTCTATCTTTCCCTCTCAACCACATTCAAGTGTGATCGTCTTTCCGATCGTCGTGATTCTTTTATCAAATGTCTGATTCCGCGGACGTGGCTTTTAGTTCTCATATTTTATTTACGTCTTTCTCGCCCTAAATCCCGTCAAGAAACTAATTAATTAATATATATACCGATTTCTTTACAATACACACATTTTCTAAAAACATCATATCTTTACATTTCATGACATTTTACATCATTTCCAAACAAAATTAGAAGATCGTAAAAATGACCGATTAGAAGGCTTCCGTTCGGAAGCAAAAATTCATGGATTTTCAAAAGATGTTTTCATCATTTCCCACAATTTTCTCCTTAGCAATACTATAGAAATTGGTATACATGAAATAACATATCGATTCAAATCAACTCGCAATAATAACGTGATGAATTATATAAAATCATAGTCAGAGCGCGCCTTCGATCTCGTCAAAGAAAAGAGAGTGTCATCAAAATGTAAATTAATTTCACTGCCGAGTCTATTGTTTGTGATCCTGCGCTAAAAAATTTCGCGGCTGTGCAAGCAGGGGCACAATGCCACTCACAATCACAAAAGACAAGACTCGGTTTCCGAAAAAAAAAGTAAAAACAATGGACAGGGAAAAGTAAAAGCCAAGAAAACGAAAAATAAAAATGAGTGGAATGGAAGGCGCAAGGAGATGAAGCCAAGAATTAAGCGGCAGGGCAAGAGCAACAGCGAGAGGTACCGCGCGACTGGCGGGCGAAGGGGATGGGAGGAACCAAGAATACAAGGCAAAACAACAATTCCCGTCCCAAGAAGGTAAAATGACGCTTCGACCGTGAAACTTTTGAAATCGGTCGGCAGAGGCGCAACAATCGCTCAGCCGTGCCATTGCCGTCTCATGGAACTCAGTACGCCGGAGTCTGTAGCGCGCGTAAGTCGTTCTTATCGGCACTGCTCGGCTACCCTTAACGTGTGGTGTTTCAACTCGCGTAATTGAAACGGTTATAAATTATTTTTCAAGGATCCAATTAATGGTGAAATTGTCGAATGGAGGAAAAGTAGGAAAAGTGTTTGTTGGAATTAAAGTCGATAGTTGAACGAATTTCATTCAATACCAGTATTGTTTCATTCCTCATATTGAGTCATTCCGTGAATCATTAGTAGAGTCAGTGAAAAATTGAAGGAAAATAATTGCATCACGTGTGTGAGAGTAATTCAAAAGTGACCAAACAACGATCAAGTTGCCTGTTTTTTTTTAGTTTTAAGTTTCTGTGCAAATTGCAGTCGGTGCGCGTGTGTCGTGATAGTGTCAGGTGTGAACTGAGGCGGGATAAATCTGGATTCTCGAAACTCCATCGATCATTGGAATTGATACCCAGGAGCAGTCAGGATTATCATTTTCTCAGTTTTGTTTGTTTATGTTCTGTGTTGTAACGGAGTTTGCTAGTGGAAGTGTGCATACGTCCCTGGCCTGGAGTCATTGCGGTGCCTCTGGACGAGGCAGGAGGACCGCCTTGTACGGCAGTAAGTGTTTGGATCTTCCTCTTCTCATTTCCCTTTTTTTTTTTGAACAATCCTTTCGCCCCCCGTACCTTACCCCTCCTTCCACGAATAGCCGTCTTTCACTCGCGCTCACTCGCTCGTACTTCGCCGTCTCCTTCGCCGTTGCGTTCTCACGCAAGGTCGCGGGACTAATTCGCAGTGTTTTTTTTTCTTTTACTCCATTTTTTCACCTTTATTTATTCGCTTATCGCATGACGCCACTCGTTCAACATGCAGCGATGATTATTATTCAAACTTGGAGTAAAAAAAAATGGGAGAGAAAGTAAAAATCAGGGAGGGAAACGGGTGTAATTAATTCTACCCCCTAAGTTTTTTCGACGGTTCTGTTGAAGTTTGGAGGAAGCCCCATTAGATGAATAATCAAGCTCTTAGTAGTGAATTAGCGAACACAGCTGCTAATTCATAACAGTAACGAGTTGAGTTAGAGTAATAATAATAACAATGAGACCAACTTCTTCCCTGACGTGAGTTTTTTTTCTCTTTTGTGTCTGGTGTAAAATGCGATACGAGTGAGAAGTTATACTCGAGTATTCAGGCATCAATTGCCTCGGAGTTTTTCGAGTGGTGGATGGTGGTACAGAGTTACAAGACCCAGTTTTGCCCGCGCCCAAGGACTCGGGGGAATTTTAAGGAATTCGAGTGGGACAGTCCGTGCCATAAAAGTGGCTTCCCAAAATAAGACTCGGATTTTTTGGTGCAACACAACGGCACAGCGTCGATTGAACAAATGGCGATTGTCGATTGTTGAGTGGTATAATAATTCAGCTTAATTTGTTGATTTGTTCATTTGGTTGTTGATTAATTTATACTACGTTATTTTATTGTCTTTCCATTTCTGTCTTCACAATGAGATTAATTTTATCCATTCTTATTCTCGTTATTATATATATATTTTTTCCTTAATCACAAGTTACAACATTGAATGAAGAGGAATCATGTTAAAGATCGCTAAAAAATATTTTTTTGGGGATCAAAACAAATACACAAAACAAACGTCATTCGAAATCTCATTCGGGTAATAGAAAAATCTTTCCAAATATTCCGGAAGGTTTTAAAAATCTATTTTTCCATTCATATGGTAAAGGTATATCGGTACTCCTCATTCCTGTGGTCGGATTCCAATTATTATCATTATAAAAAGGAAACGAAAAAAGTATCAGAAAGGGATAATCGGCTAGAAAATGTATTTTTTTCTTCTTCTATGTCGGTGGGAATTTCGAATCACTTTTTTTCTTCAAGTATTATGGGGACATCAATATTTCAGCGAAAAGAAATTGAAAAAATGCAAAAAAGTGCAAGGGAAGAACTAAAATGAATTAATTTTGAATGTTTCCGGAAATTACACAAATTAAGTATTGGAATATAAATATGTTACCGGATTATTACTTTGTAATTGATTAAAACGTGACATAGTTTTCAGATGAGTTTTATTGCGCACAAGCTCATTTGAAAGTATCGGAAATTATTATCAAATAAACAATGAGCTGAATTAAATAAAAGTCGAAAGGGCTCTATCTTCACAATGCCTCGAACAAACGTTTAAAAATGGAAGCATTTATTAGCATTCAGCCATCTCGCACGACTGTTGATCGATTAAACAAACGTCAATCGTAAATTGACGAGGGATAAAGTAATTCAACTGAATTTATTGATTGTGGAATATTTAATCTAGTTACCAGATGAGTTTTATTACGCATAAATTCGTTTTAAAGGTGATCAATTTCGAATGTTACCAAAATGAACGGTAACAAAGGAGAGCGTTAATTCCTGAGGGAAAATGAACATTGATAACAATACAATTATGAAAATGAAAAACTGAAATAGCATTACAATTATTCAATAGCAACTGCCGAACGAGTGAAATAAGCTCAATTACATGAAAGTCGAGTGGACTTTGTGCTTAAAACAAAAAGCGATTACTGATAGATTTTTTATTAAACATTCTTCCATCTCCTCTAAATGACAGTTAATCGATTAATCAAACCTTAATCGTAAATTGACCAGAGATATCATAATTCAACTCAATTTGTTGATTGAACAATATTTCATATTGTTCCCGTATAAGTTGGATTCTGTATAAATTCCTTTGAAAGGTCATCGATTTCGAATATTACCGAAATAACGGTGACAAAGGAGAGCACTAATTCCCGAGGGAAAATAGGCATTGATAAAAATGCAATTGTAAAAATCAAAAACTGAAAAATTGTAAAGTCTTACAATAATTCAATAGTAACTGTCAAACGAGTGAAATTAGTTCAATTACATAAAAGTTGAAGGGACTCTGGGCAGAACGTTCACAGATGGAATTTTCATTACCATTCTGTCATTGCCTCCAACGATAGTAAATCGATTGAACAAACCTTAATGGTATATTGACGAATGATGAAATAATTCAGCTCAATTTGTTGATTGAGCAGTATTACATCTAATTCTCGGATGAGTCTGATTCCGTATAAATTCGTTTGAAAGGTCATCGATTTCGAATATTACAAAAATGAAGGGTGACAAAGGAGAGCACTAATTCCTGAGAGAAAATAGGCATTGATAAAAATGCAATTATAAAAATGAAAAACTGTAAAGCATTCCAATTACTCAATAGCAACTGTCGAACGAATGAAATAAGCTCAATGACATGAAAGTCGAGGAGACTATGTCAAAAATTCAATGATGGATCAGAGGAATTCGAAGTGTAATAAAAACAACTCTTAAGGGGAGACTACTATGAGTTTTGAAACTCGTGGGTTATTGGAGTGAGACTTTTCATACGTTGAAGATCGATTATATAGTCTAAAAACGAATAATTAGTGCAAAAAACAAATTTTTTTCATTGTTCATTTGCCCGAAAACGCTTAAAATGCTAAAAACAGTCCATGGCCTCCAATTTTTGAGCTACAAAAGATTTATTTCTTCAAAATTTTCTGAAAAATGTGTGGAACAACAATTACGAGCCAGTCTTTTGGAATTCGACTCTTACACAGCTGATTTCGATTTTTTTCATATAAAAAAAATCACTATTTGTGTAAAAAAATACAAAAAAAGCGAATTTAGCCATGTAAGACGCGAATTTAAAAAAAATAGCTCATAATTATTATTCAACATATTTTTCCGAAAATTTTGAAAAAAAAAATCCTTCGTAGCTCAAACATTGGAGGCCCTGGACTGTTTTTGGCATTTTAAGCGTTTTCGGGCAAACACACAATAAAAAAATTTTTTTTTGCACTAATTATTCATTTTTAGATCTATATAATTGATCTTCAACGTATGAAAAGTCTCACTCCAATAACCCACGACTTTTAAAACTCACAGTAGTCTCCCCTCAATATCTAGTTAGGGTGAACGGGCCAATTGCTGGACGACTAAGGGATATTCGAATTTTGTGGTAGAATCTAGAATAAAAGAATCACTTAAATGGGGATATGATGGCTTCCATACCTTTAAGAATGTTTTAATTAGCAGAAAAAATTATTTGAAGTGAAAATAACAAAACAAAGAATAATTAAATTAAGAAATAGTTGAATGCAGCCGAAACCCTAAATTTCTGGACGTCTGGGCCATATTTTATTTATTTATTATATGTCGATCAATCGTCTAAAAATTGACCTCTTTACCCTAGTAGGTGGGGTTTCATTTTGTGATTTTTATTGCATGCATTCAATTTTTCCAGAGCCTGAGGAAAGTGAAATATATCAGCGAATATATCCGAGTGGAAGCTCTGTTATCGTTCAAATTTAAGTTTTGGATTTTTTGTGTTATATCGACCCAGTATGATCCAAAAAGTTCGAAAATGTAATTTTAAGACCTCGTCCGTATGTGTGTGCGTATGTGTACGAATGTAACAAAGTTTTTCTTCAATTATTCGCGAGTGAATGGATGGAATAGATTTTTTCAAATTTTTTCAAATGTAGATATTGTTGAGCTCTATCAATCACCACCAATTAAAATTTAATTCATCGATTAGTTTTTTTAATTTTCAAATTTTGTTGTAAATCGGTTGTCCCGCGATAACTACAACAAATGTTCTGAATTGATTGAATGATGGCTTAAAAAATTTGTTTAGATGTCCTTTTGATCGAGTTAAAAGATCAAGGCGATAGCAATAATCGTTATTTTGATTTATTTGAAAATTTGCAAAAATTTTGTATTTTTTGAAAATCAGAATTCCGCGGATATCTATGAATATCATGCTTCAAAGGAATTTAATCGTAGCCTACAATGTTTGTGTTAATGCCGTTAAGTCGAAGTTAAAAAATGATTACGATAGCTGTATTGGTTGATTTAATTTTTATGAAAATTTTGAATTTTTCATGAATTTCCCTGAAAGTGAGCATTCTGATGGTTTCTTCGAATATGATGTTTCAAATTTATTCAAGTAGGTATAAATACAATTTTTCTATTAACATTCTTTCAAAGGCCTGAGGGGAGAGATAAAAACATAAAAAAGACAATCAATTGTGTAGAGGAAAGAGATAATAACAATAATGAGGATGATACACGGAGAGAAATATTCAATAAAAATTACGCATCTTTTCCGTAATTCCGGAGCAAAATGTGGTTCCGTAATTTTTATCTGAATCTCTTGTGAAAAATTACGATACCGTCACTTAAATTTTCGGAGTCGATTCCGTAATCGGTGAGTGAAGTGAGAGTTCCGTAATTTTTACTGAATATTTCTCTCCGTGTAACATTCAACCAAGTTGAAAATCTGACAAAATTAGTTAAAAATTGATCTTGTTTATTTTAATAAAATTAAATAAACAATGCATGATACATGATAGAAGGAAATGATGTACGAAATAACCATTCGGAAGCATATTGCTAATTGATTCGGAAACATAACTATACTATACGCAATGCAAGAGCCTTACACTCCGAATTCCGCTTTAACATCATAAAGTTAATTCCCTAACCCGCCGTTATTCGTGCGTGAGATTTTCTCTCACGCAACGCTAGTCAACCTACAG